TTATCTCCCAATCCTGACAGATATTTGTAGCAAGATGTTTGCTGCAATCAAGGAAGCCCTCGGCACAGAACGGTTGGAGAGTACTGGGCGTGGAGGTGGAGGATGCATCAATGAAGGAGAAGTATTCAAGACAGACAAGGGACAGATCTTCTTGAAGAGGAACTCAAAATCTAAGGTTAATAATGTTGTATATTTAGTTAACTTTTGTTTTATATTTTACAACTAGTTATATGAGACTGACATGATATGCAAAACCATTTTAGATATTGTTTATTTTGTAGATTTCAGTGTCAAAGGTATGACAGTTGTTTCCCTTTTAATGATGTTGTTTTTTCCTTGAAATCCTTTGTCTTCATTATGCTTTTTCATTTCAGGCTCGTGAGATGTTTGACGGGGAATTTGAGAGCCTGAAAGCCATTGTCGCCACAGGAACAGTCAAAGCTCCAACTCCCCACTTGGTCGTTGATAATCCAGCTGGAGGGGCAGTCCTTGTCATGGAATACTTGGATATGCATGGCCTGAATAGACAGTCTGGAGCACTCGGTGAACAGTTAGCCAGGTATATATTGGAGTTTTGGACGTTGATTTAGATTGCAACTTACAATTGATATTTCTCTCTCTCTCTCTCTTTTTTTTTTTTTTTTTTTTTTTCCTTTTTCTTTTTCCTTTTTTTTTTCCTGTAGATTAGATGGCAACATTATATATATATATATATATATATATATATATATATATATATATATATATATATATATATATATATATATATATATATATATATATATATATATATATATATATATATATATATATATATATATATATATATATATATAATATATATATATATATATATATATATATATATATATATATATATATATATATATATATATATATATATATATATATATATATATATACACACACACATATATATATTTTATTATTTTTATGTGTGTGTGTGTGTGTGTGTGTGTGTGTGTGTGTGTGTGTGTGTGTGTGTGTGTGTGTGTGTGTGTGTGTGTGTGTGTGTGTGTGTGTGTGTGTGTGTGTATTTGAAGAACTATACATCCCGTATACACCAAAAAATCGGAACCCACTTTTTTTTTATTTGATGATTTATCTCCATAGAATGCACCTCCACAATATAAAGAAACTGGAAAAGTTTGACGAGAGCCATGTAGGTGGTGGTGAGGAATCAAAGCCTGTGACCCAGTTTGGGTTCTCTGTTCCAACCTGTTGCGGCTATTTACCCCAGGATAATACGTGGAATGATGACTGGGTTGTAAGTTTGTTCACACTGTTATTGCTGTGTTATTATTAGTGTTGATGATAACTCAAGGTGAAATGTTAGCAAAAATTTAGCAAGCAGTAAAGTAGGTGTTAAAGAAACATTGAATTTATTATAGACCCAGTCACAACCAAGATGTAGATTGATGTAAATATTTTTTACAGGTTTTTTATACAAGAAAATTACAGGAGCAGCTTACAATGATTGAAAAAGATGTAAGTGCAGTAAGAATTTTCATTGATATTAAATTGGTTTGATACTGTTACTCTTTTATCACTGTAATCAATATTAATGAGATTTTAAGTATACCTTTATTTTGTATTTTTGAAACTTCTAGTATAGTGACCGTGAGGCAAGAGAATTATGGTCAAAGTTGCAGCGGAAAATACCAGAATACTTTAAAGACCTCGAAGTGAAGCCATCACTTGTTCACGGAGATCTATGGAGTGGCAATGCAGCAGAGACAGCTGATGGTCCAGGTGAGACACTGCTCTTCCCTATCTCAGTCTGTTGATAATTTGGAGTAAAAAGTTATTGGAAACATTCTGACATATTGCTCATGAATAATATTTAATTTGTAATATTTCCATTTTGTAATTTGTCTCCTATCTCCTGGTCTTCCCCCATTTTTCTTTCAAGTATTTCTTCCTCTGCTTTTACCTTCTTTATCTCCTTGTTACTTCCTGTCTAACATGACCTCTTTTTTTAGTTATATTTGACCCAGCGTCTTTCTACGGCCACCATGAATATGATTTGGGAATCGCAGGAATGTTTGGAGGTTTTAGTCGGAAATTCTGGGATGGATATCACAGTGTTATTCCAAAAGCACCAGGTTTTAGCAACAGACACAAGCTCTATCAGCTGTTCCATAATCTGAACCACTGGTAGGGTGCATATAAGTATGTTTTGAATTTTTGTAAAACGTTTGAGAGTGTTAAAGTGACTTGAGGTATCATTTACATATGTTTATATATTTTCTACTTTCAGGAATCATTTTGGCAGTGGATATCGAAGTGGAAGTCTGCATTTGATGAGGACCTTATGCTAAAAATGCATCGTCATGTTAATAATGTTGTTACATTCATAAGACTACACATACATATGAAAAGTTACCTATTCTACACTGTAAATATCTTCTGATGTCCTGTTTTGTTTATCAATGTACTGATGTCATTAATATTCCCATATATATGGTAATATATTATT